CCAAATTTAAATAGAAGCTTCTTACAATCAAGAGATAGTATCTAGAGGAAAATTTTTAATAATTTTTCCCCATTTTTGGAAAATGACGCTATCAGCGGCATGTTTCCGATACCATTGACCAGAACTTACGGTAGTCGATTATTGCCTCCGCCTACCGCACTCGGTTTCATATTTACTATTTTACATACTAACTGGAATCTGCTTGTATTACGCTACACTCGAACAAAGTGTTGTAGTCGGACGGGAACCAGTTTACATACTTTATTTTATTTACCAAAAAGATATCTTGACCTGTCCATATGTTTTTTGTTATTAAATGGTATTTGGAGCTATCCCTTTGTTATATTTTTCATATTTATTCGAGCTTTCACTTTTATGCACATGTCTTACAATCGTTAACAATCGGTATGTATACATGATAAATAGATCCGTTTTGTTATGGTGTTGGACTTTTTACCCTCCAATGATCAGCAATCGCTAGACAAAATAGTTCTCCTAAATAATGTCAGCCTTTCATGCCATTTCAACTTTACAATCATTAAAAAAAGTGAAAATCGGAATCATTTTGATATCCATTTCTTGACGACCTCATAATTTCATCATGTCGATGGTACAAATCGATTTTTACTGTTTACTGTCGCTTCTCATGTTTTGTATTTAAACGGTCGTTTATTTTTAAACCCGAACCAGGCATATGCATTCTGTAATTGTGCAAATCTTCGTTCTTTGGTCAATTGGCTTATGGATAGTTGTATCAATTTCAACTCTTACAATATTTTTTTTTAAATATATTTGCATTACACATACAATGGCAGTACCTTTCCAATTACTATTTATGTGTTGTGTCTAAATTAAAGTTGTAACACTTTATAGTGACTGGAAAGGGTAGAAAAATTCATCAGATGAGAAAAGGCTGAAGATACTTCAAACGGCACCGAATCATTAGATATTGCATCTTATAAAAGAAACTGAGATTTGGATAGTTCCACTTCAAGGTGAAAATGTTTATCGCTTGTGAAATGAAATTAAAAAAAATATTGTAACACTGTAGTTAATTAATAAAGATACTATTACGTGTATTTCTGTATTGGCCTTATTATTGGTTCTCGGCCAGCAGTTAAACGGCACCGAAGCATTAGATATTGCATCTTATAAAAGGAAACTGAGATTTGGATAGTTCCACTTCAAGGTAAAAATGTTTATCTCTTGTGAAATGAAATAAAAAAAATATTGTAACACTGTAGTTAATTAATAAAGATACTATTACGTGTATTTCTGTATTGGCCTTATTATTGGTCCTCGGCCAACAGTATTGGCCTTCCGCTTCGCCTCAGACCAATACACCCAAGACATGGACCAATAACAAGGCCAATACAGAAATACTTACGCAATGATATTATAGAATGACAGTATGGTTCAATAGCGGGAATCAGTCCCTCAACTACTTTTTACATAAATATTAACTTCTGGCTTCAACGCTTTGTTCGTCTTGTCTGGAGATCTTGCTGTAGTTCCAGTTCAGCAAGCATTTTAGAGACGTATCCCGTCCATCCTCTTTTGACTTGTAATCTCTGGTGATAGATTTTGCCGCTTGACATTGTATCCTTTCAAACTTGTTTTTTTTTTACCGTGTAGGGGTCCCATACTATGGCTCCATATTAAATTATAAGATCCATTCCTAAAGATCTAGATCATTGTTCTAATCTGACACAAATTTCAATAACTGGAATGCTACCCAAGTTGAATATATGGTGACCCAAGAGAACAGCATTATCACTATTGAAATTGTGTTTAATACCATGATTGTTCAATGTCATTAACTTAAATGGAGACAGACATTTGACCTGAAAGACATGAAAGGTGGTGTGGGAGTGCAAAATCAAAAACTAACTGACTATGATATATGGTTAAAGAATGAATATCAATTACATGGTTCAACATGGTCAAGGGCAGAGTTGTTATAAAATAACAATATGGCAGAGAAGTGGTTTCAAGTTTCATATAAAGCGACCTGACTGACATGAAATAAAAAAATCGAAGGAGTATCCCTATTTGTCTAATCTTCAGGGTGAAATAAAACTAGTAAAACAATATTATACTATTGTCTAAATATACAGAAATATAATTTGCTTCAAGTAACAGAATTAACTAGGTCACTAGTAACTTATTTAATGAGTATGTGGGGTATAAGAGCTTGCTAACAACAGGCTCTTCATAATCATTTGGTTTGAAAAGGATACTAGTAGTCTATATTCTTGATTTAGAAAAATGTAATTGCAAGAAAAAAATCACATTACTTAGAATACTTTAGATCATTCAGGTAGTCTTTATTTATATGTACAAAAGAACAGCCAGTAGTCATTGGATATTGTAGATCATTCAAATAGTCTTGACCTTTTTATTAGTACAAAAGAACAGCCAGTAGTCATTGGATATTGTAGATCATTTCGGTAGTCTTGACCTATTTATTTATACAAAAAAACAGCCAGTAGTAATTGGATACTGTAGATCATTCAGGTAGTCTTGACCTATTCATTTGTACTGAAAAAACAGACACATATACGAATATCAATTATATGCTTACGAGACATGTTGCAATGTTAAACTTATAACGGTATGTGAAAATCAAGACTTGCATAAAAAATATCACAATATTAGAGACAGTGGCGTCATTTTTCCTCAGAGCTTTCAGCTCTTTGATTGTTGAGGGTATCAGGTCCGTTCGCGCCCAGTACACTTTTGCACCCTACACGTTCGCCCCCTAGGTTCGTTCGCACCCTACACGTTCGCACCCAATTTTATCAAATACAAGTTGAATTATTAGATATTTTTTTATATGTATATACCAAAAAAATATATTTTCCTGAATAAAAATTGGGGAATTATTATATTATTTTTTTTTTTTTTTTATCATTTTGATGATTAATTATTAAATGTTAATTATGTTCAAATGTATGATTACTGCTAATTGGTATTTATACACAGCTAAATTTGGTATTATTGTTGTGTGTTTGAAAATCACGATTGTTGTTTTAACTTGCTTTGATGTAAAAACTCCATGTATATAGCTTGGTATGAGTAAAACATTGAAGATTTTAAAAGAAAAACACGAAAGATAATTGATTTTAACAGCTTGGCCCCTTTGATCTCACTTTATTTTGAAACAATGAAAAAAAATTTTATATCACAACACTAACCAAAACATAATTTAAGATTTATTCAGCACAAAAAAAAATCAACGTGAGAATCACTTTATTTTGAAACAATGAAAACATAAATTTATACATGTTATAGCAATACACTTACCAAAAGATGATTAAGATTTTTTCAACACAAAAAACAAACGTTGTCAGAATCGCATTTTATTTAGAAACAATGAATTTTTTTATAGCAATACACTAACCAAAACATGATTAAGATTTATTCAACACAAAAAAATGTTGACAGGATCTTACTTTATTTTGAAACAATGAAAAAAAAATATTTACAGTAATACACTTACCAAAACTCGATTACAAAATTATTAAACACAAAACCAATAAAAAGGGTGCGAACGGACTTTGAGTGCGAATGTGTAGGGTGCGAAAGTGAAAAGGGGCGAACGTGAATGGGCGCGAACGTGTTTTTGGGCGAACGGACCCGATTTCTTTGTTGAGCCTGCGACTAACAGCAAAAGTAGGCGAGACACTGGGTTCCGCGGAACCCTTACGAATTTTTTGGTCTTATCATCTCTTCAACATTTGTATCCGGTTTTGATTTTTCAAAATGTTGCATCGAGAGTCACTGCAGAGACATTGATTGTCAAAATGCGTATCTGATGCAGTAAAATTGGTACCGTTGATGTTAAAACACTCTTAGCAGCGATATCTGATTATGACAATACACAGTTTTCAGTGAAACATTTTCGATGTTTTACCCTGTCTATTTACCGTCGGTAGGTAATAACATGTTCCTATGTGTTTTGTGTTGCAATAGACTATTTTCATATTACCGACTTTTGACTCCGGGTTATATAATTTGTCGACTGGTTACCTTGGACATCATGGTACTCGGTCAAGTAAGAACAACCAAAATAAGTAAAATCAAACATATAATCGGTGTAATTTGAGGGGAAAGTTTACTGTTTTCCGATGATTTTGTAGTGGAAAAAATATTAACCAGGTAATTTTCCCCCAAAATTGTACCGACTGAAAGCTTGGTTTTACTTCTTTAACTTGCTCTTACCTGACTTGGTACCATGATGTCCAAGGTAACCAGTCGACAAATTATATAATCCGGAGTCAAAAGTCGGTAATATGAAAATAGTCTATTGCTTTGCTGACATATATTCCAAACTCGCAAAAGAGTATAAACACTATTTGTTTATGTTGTTCAAATCTTGTAGAAACAGTCAATCTTTAATATGCTATCCTTGTAGGTTAATTCACTATATGATATTGTTTTCCTCATTGTTGAACGCTGGTCTGTAATCTTTATATCCATATCCTGATCTAGTGGACAGTTGTATCATTTCAAATCATATTGCATCTGACATGGTACAAAGGACTATTTTCATCACTTTGCCGTTGTTCGTTTACATTTACAACAATCTTCTCTGAAGAAACTACAGGCAAGGGCAAATTGAAGCTAAAATTAACGACAATGTATTGTAACACATTTATATAGATGTAAAACCATAGGCGGATCCAGGGGGGGGGGGGGGGGGGCCGGGGCCCCCCCTTTCGTGGGAAAAATTTGGTTGATTATATAGGGAATCACTGAAGCATGACTGGAGCGGGGCCCCCCCTTAGGTCAGTCAGCCCCCCCCCCTTATGAAAAGTTCTGGATCCGCCACTGAAAACATTAGCAATATTAATACCTCCAAGCATACTAGTATTCTAAACCATTGAAATAAGAATTTAATGAATGTGCATTGTGGGAAGCATCAGTTGGCAATGCCAGCTTTGCACTTGTTTTGAATTGACATAAATATGCTCATGGTCTTTTTATATTTTATTCAGAGTGAAGACTAATATGGCATCATCCAGCACAATAGCATGCGGTGTTTGTGAGTCTCAGCACACGACAAAAAAGGCGGACGTGTGGTGTCCTGAATGTGACGAAGGATTGTGTTCCCAATGTCTGAAGCATCATAATGCATCAAAAGCCACGCGTACCCATGGAGCTATATCTGTCGACAACTATAAACAATTACCTCCCTCGATAGCCAATATATCACAATACTGTTCACTGCATGACATAAAATTCCAGAATTATTGTCCGCAACATGAAAGTCTTTGTTGTCAATTGTGTATTCAGTCAAACCATGCTACCTGTAACGAGATATTATCACTGGAGAATGTCGTACAAACAGCAAAGACGTCATCTTTATTGGAAAGTCTTGATCAAAACATCAAAAATCTCAAAATTAGTGTCAATAGAGTTGTTGACGATCTGAAACAAAATCTTGATGAAATCCAGAAACAAAGGCAAAAGTTTTATGACGATATAAAACAGGTCCGTAATATGATTAACGAACACCTTGACAGCCTAGAACATCGAGTAATTCATGACTTATATGCTGCTGAAACAGAAATTAAGTCCCACATTGAGGACTTGATTGGAAAACTTGCTGAAAATTCAGAATGTGTAAATTCAATGCAAAATAATATTTCAGCTATCAAAGATTATGCGTCAAATATACAAGCATTTCTTGGGAGTAAAATGATTGAGACAGAAATTCAGAAATATGAAATATTTATGCAGTCATTATTTGACGATGGAAGTTTGCAGAAGATGGACATAAACTGTAAAATTGAGGACAAGATAACCGATGTATTGTCAACTGTTACTTCACTAGGTACAATATCCATCGAATCAAGCTCTCCATTAGTGGTTATAAAAACAGAGAAAGAAACACAAGCACAGACAAGGTCTTTGAACCATGTGCCACCTTTAAATATCAATGATATAACACTGACATTACAAAGTAAATTCAACTTTCCTGGTATCACAGGATGCACCATTTCTTCTAAAGAAGAAATCATCCTGATAGACTTCAATTATAAACGTGTCCTGATTTTAAAGGAAGATGGAACCTTGAAAAGTGAGATACTTCTTTCAACTTCAAGCCCAGTTGACGTTGCCTGTATCGATGACACGTCATTTGCTGTTTCATTTCCTTCTTCAAATCTAATACAAATCATAAACATTTCAACTGAAAGAGTTGAACAGAGAATAAACACTACCAGCCTTTGTTTTGGTTTATGTTACAGAGATGGCTACTTGTTGTACTGTGATACTGGCCGAGGTATTCAGAAAGTTAATATGGCAGATAATTGCTCTTTTACTTTGGTTAAAGACAACACTTTGTCCAAATGGAGTTATGTAGCGACGTTTAAAGATAATATATTTTATACTAATAGCTCAAACTTTACCATAACATGCTGCTATTTGACTGGAGAGAAGATGTGGGAATACGCAGATCAATCAGTTCTTTCTCCGTACGGGATAGCTGTAGATAAAGACTCAAACGTGTATGTTGCTTCATATGGTAACAACAGTTTATGTGTATTGTCGTCAGATGGAAAACAAGCAAGAAAGCTGCTAGGATATAATGGGGAAGTTAATACCCCTTTTGGACTTGCATTTGATGCTAAGAAAGAAAAAATAATAGTTGCGACTTATTATGAACCTAAATTATACAGACTATAGTAAGACTCAACTTATGATTACGTAGTTTTCATTTTCAGAGTAGATGTTTTTTGCTATTAGAAAAAAAAATTTCCAACAAAATTATTTAGCATTAATTGTATAAAAAACGGGCGTAATTTTTGGTTCGCATGTGAATCCCAGGCCACCCTCAGAAAATCAAATGGTTCGTGCCTAAACTCTTGTTGAATGTCTGTTTCGCCGAACTGGTATACTGAGTACTTTTTTCAAGGACCGACTGCAACCTGCCTGCTGAGTGTGGCCTATATGTCTCCATGTGTCGACCGTCATTCACAACTTCATTGTCATTTCAGACATATTCGTAGCTTTGGTTGATTTGGAACCACTCACTTCCCTTGTTGGGTGAAACATTTCAACCATACATTTGGATAACAATTGCTTTTTTTTTTGTCTTTCTCCGTGTCGGTCGTATTGTAAATTTCATTGAATGGCCGTATATCTTGTTTACAACAAGAAATATGTGAGGTTATGCTAACTAACCATACAACAAACGTCAGTACCCGTTGCATTTTTTTGCCTCCCCTGCGAATACTGTCGCAAAAAGCGAGATTTAGGGATAGTGATCCGGCGGCTCTTGACTTAAAAGCTTAGTATTTCAGGGTAGTAGACATGGATGCTTCATACTTCGTATATAGATGCTTTATGTTACAAACATACGGTCTGTCAGATGACCATTGTCCTTGACCTCATTTTTATGGTTCAGTGACTACTTGAAAAAAGTTAAGATTTTTTGTTATGTTACTTTCTCTCTTATTATACGTAATAAGGTAACTATATTTGTTAAGTGAGTACCTTGCAAGGCCCTCATGCCTTTCGAATAGTTTTCACAAATTCGCAATGCATTCTTCAGATGCTAGTTGTAACCTCTATTTCAGTGATTGACTTGGGCTAGGGAGAATTTTTCCATGTTCATTTTTGTCGAGCCTTCGACTTTTGTCGAAAAAGCGAGACATAGCGATCCTACATTCCGTCGGCGTCGTCGTCGTCGTCGTCGGCGGCGTCCACAAATATTCACTCTGTGGTTGAAGTTTTTGAAATTTTAATAACTTTCTTAAACTATCCTGGATTTCTACCAAACATGGAAAGAAGCTTGTTTATGATCATAAGATAGTATCCAGAAGTAAATTTTGTAAAAAAAAAAATCCATTTTTTCCGTATTTTACTTATAAATGGACTTAGTTTTTCTGCCAGTTAACATTACATTCACTCAGTGGTTAAAGTTTTTAAAATTTTAACAACTTTCTTAAACTATCCTGGATTTGTACCAAACTTGGACAGAAGCTTGTTTATGATTAAAAGCTAGTATCTAGAAGGAAATTTTGTTAAAATTTTGTTTGATTTTTTCCGTATTTTACTTATAAATGGACTTTGTTTTTCTTCCAGTTAACATTACATACAGTCTGCAGTTTAAGTTTTTAAAACATTTATTAGATTCATAAACTATCCTGGATTTTTACCAAACTTGGACAGAAGCTACTAACAATCAAAAGATAGTATAGAGAGGCATATTTTTATTTATTTTTTTCCTCATTTTTGTTGAGCCTGCGATTAACAGCAAAAGTAGGCGAGACACTGGGTTCCGCGGAACGCTTATGAATTTTTTACTGACAAATCCCACATCAAATATATTGGTACATAGCTTTGGATCCATCCAATCATTTTATTATAGACCATTAATGGGGAGAATACGGCTTCAAAAATGTCCAGCTCTTACACTTCAACTATAAAATATACATGCCCCACGTCAGGAACCGTTAAATTAGTGCATTTTACACTTATTTTATGTTTTTTTAGCCAAAAAAGGTCAAAAAAAGTTTTCGCCTCGCTCCGCTCGGCGACAGATTCTATACTACGCCCCCTTTCCAAAATCCTGGATGTATTTTGTCATAAAAAAACAGGTTTGATACCATGCGATATATTTAGATAAGTTACATGAAATGCCTTTATCAAAAACAGTACAACAGCTCTATTTATGAGTGTAATTGTTCAGTTTTTGTATTTGCTTACGTTTATTTTTAATGTAACGGGCCGAATGAGGTCCCTCGTGGTGGTGTCCAAGTAATCGCATAATCAAAAATTTCCTGCCAATATAATCACAAAATCACAAATTTCCTGCCAATATAATCACATAATCATTAGCTATTTTGTTAAACAAGATAATCAAATAATCAAAAATTCAGTCCTTGATTATCAAATAATCATGAAATATTTTGTCTGGTAATCAAATAATCACTATATAAAAACGGCCAAGTGATCACATAATTAAAAACCCCAATGAGGAGGCTCCCAAATGTAACGCTACGTGTTCCTGTTCTTGGATAACTTGTGTATCACGTCACCAGTAAACGATGCTTTTGTATAGAATGCGGAACACATGTTCCAACGGGAGCTTCTCTCCAAGAGTTGAACCTCCAACAAGTTAGCAGTTTTAACTCAAACTGTAATTTGCTCATGTGCTGCACCAAGTAAGAGTGCAAGGTGACAATATCTAATAAACTTGATAATTAACAAAGTATTTGCATGCAATGCAACAGACAGATTTCCCTGCACCAAGTATGCAGAGTATCAGAATGCAGTGTCCCAGGTACCTTGCACCGAGCGCTAGAAGAAATGTTTTATTAAATGCAAGTAATGCACCTTGATGTATTACTTGATTTGCATATTTTATTTTATGTCATATATTTTATGAACCACTGTATTTGTTTATATTTATATGTTTCATAACGAGTGAGAATGCCCCGGGATATCGCTTGATATCAACTTGAGTTATATAATTTCAATATAATAATAAATGAGTCTTCGGCGAGTTTATTATTACTATTTAAATTAAATATCGAAAGATGATATCAAGCGACATCAAATTCTCAAAAGTTGTGAAACATATTTCTCTTACCACTGTGTCTAAACTACCCCGGCAAAAAATGTTTGGACTCGATGGTATCTAATATCCGGCACGGTGACGGAACATCAATAGACAGAGAAAGGTAGGTTTCTGTTTATTTATTTGTTATTTTTATGATATCGAAGAATATATATACATATATAACTATTTTCTATTGTGAGATGTAATATTTTCTACAACCGTTCTACATTAACGGAGAAATAAGTAAAAATGCACGTCAAAATGACGAATTAAGTGAACCTTGCCTCGAATTTGTTTAATATCTCGTTAAATTGTTCACATTGTACGGAAAGAAAAATATTGACATAGAGATTGCAATACTAGCCACTTTGAGCACCTCAATACTTGTATTTCTGTGTATGGAACAAAAGAAAGGGGTCATGTCAAAATGGAAGGAGCCGGTTTTGTCAATGTTGTTTACTACAAAATCACCCGGTTTTGTCAATGTATATGACCCGGTTTTGTTTTGTTTTGAAACCACAAATTTATGAAAAGCAACGTTAACACGGATCTAAACATTGTCCATCGAAAGAATTTCAACATATATGTTATTGTAAAACAACTTCACTTGCGTTTTTTCAACAAAAATAAATACTACATTTTATTTATTCAAGAGTGTACGCACTGACATGAAGCGACTGCTTGAATGCTCGTAATTGAATCTATTTTGAAGATCTGTAAGATAAATAATTTAATAAAAGTATCACATAAACTTAACATTGTTCATGGAACCATAAAAAAGTCAAGGTCTAATGAAACCTGCCAGACGGACATGAACACATTACAATCATTAAAACCAACAACAACAAAATAAAAACTTAACATTTACCAGTTAAGAAAATAAGTTCAAGGTCACATAAATAGTCATGTGGCTATATGAGCAAATATAGTTGACCTATTACTTATGGTATTAGAGATACGGATTTGTGTTACATATTTATCATGGATATCAACCATTATCAGTGTGACATTCACAGCTATTCATTTTGTTAGGAAATCGCTGAACTATGAAAATGAGGTCAAGGGCAATGGACATATGACAGATAGAAACATCGTAAGATAAAAGATATGTGTGCGAGGTATGTTGCAGTCAGGCCTTCTAACTTCTGACATATGAAGCTCCATACAAATAGTTCAAGCCGCCACGAATTTGCATCCTTTGGTCTCGCATTTCGACAATTTTGAAATATCAATGTGAATTTTTAGAATACTACTCACATGCATCCAATTTCGCGGGTGTCCCTGTTTTTTATTTCTTATAAAATTCTAAGTTGGTATACGATTAAGTTATATAACATTAGTGACGAATCCAGGCGGCGTATAGGTCGCACGCCCCCATCCCCACCTTTGATGGCCCCAAAAAATTAAATCATGTTTTTTACGACTTTTTTTTAGCTTAAAATCGTCCAAAAAATTGTTCACCTCACTACGTTCGGCGGTATGTAAATTAATCTCATCATAGATACCAGGATAAAATTTTACATTTGCGCCAGACGCGCGTTTCGTCTGCAAAAGACTCATCAGTGACGCTCGAATAAAAAAATGTTAAAAAAGCCAAATAAAATTCGAAGTTGAACAGCATTGAGGACCAAAATTCCTAAAAGTTTTGCCAAATACGACTAAGGTCATCTATTCCTGAGGTAGAAAAGCCTTAGTTTTTCAAATATTCAGAGTTTTATAAACAGTTAATTTATAATTATGACCATATCAATGATAATTCATGTCAACACAGAAGTGCTGACTACTGGGCTGGTGATACCCTCGGGGAATAAAAACTTCACCAGCAGTGGCATCGACCCAGTGGTTGTAAATAAACTCATCATAGATACCAGGATAAAATTTTATATTTGCGCCAGACGCGCGTTTCGTTTGCAAAAGACTCATCAGTGACGCTCGAATCAAAAAATGTTAAAAAAGCCAAATAAAATTCGAAGTTGTTTGAATTACGCCAACTTTGAAAAAACCTAAATCCATCCCTATATATTGTTGATAATATATTGACCAATGTCAATGTAAATTGATAATCATAACACAATGAAGAGATAACAGAACTGTTTATTTATAGAACTATGAATAAAATAACCATTATTGCATTTTCTTGATGGCCTGAGCATTTGCTGAGACTATTGTACAAATTTACACTTAGTATTATCCTTTTCTCCCCATAAACATTCATTTTCTATG